GGGCAGATCTCCACACCATATTCATAAAAACACGATGAAAAAAGGACAGGTCATGGCGTTTATGCGAGTCCCCACAATTTTTCTTAACTACACTTATCTAATATGAAAGTCACCTCAAATTTCTTATCTTTTAAACTGTATGTGTCAATTAAGTTCTTTTACTCATATACTCGCCAATAGATTGAATACACCCATTAGATACAATAAGTTAGTCTGGGTAAATATTTTGCGACTCTACTTGTTAACATCTCTTCTTTACTTTCTCTGCGAAAATATCGTTGGGATTTGTACAGTGTCGAAATAAATCACCGCCAGTACAATTTATCGGCACATCGACACATTCAATTACATTGAATTTAATAGACGACGACATTTTAGCGTTATTAAGTCGAAAAGTAATATTTTATATGTCTAGACCATTTGAAAAACGCCATCATAGGGAAATACTTAATTGTGTTTTGTATTAGTATAAAAATAGATACAGTATGTTGTCAATCTGGCTTACTTAAGCCTCATATTACGAATTAAAATAATATTGATTGAATATCTTCAACCGCCAAATTTTAATGAGCATAGTTATAAGGTACACAGAGTGCATAAGATTCAGAAATTATAAATAGTCTTTGTAATAAGCAGAATAATAAGAGACGACTCAGGAATAAACATTTTAAGTATAATATTTTGTTGAGTTATTAGAAAATTCTTGTGTCGTCGCACTTTTATAACACAACAAACTATTTTAAATTTTTAAAAGTTTTCTACTTTAAATTATATTTTATCCAAAAGCATATGACTTGTGGACTAAGTGGTGTATGCTGTAGTACTGAAACTTTCAACATACATTGATTTTATGTCGAACAGTACGGAACTGTACTGGCTCAAAAATCGAAGGCATGCATTTCTATTGTTGAAAATTTAAACTTCTTGATATTTATTTCTAATAAAACTTATGGTTATATTTCTAGAACATTGTTATGAACATATACTCATAATATTATATTCAGTGCTGAAACAAAAATAAAAGTTTGTAATACTCTAATAATATATTGTTGCCCCAAAATGTGTCTAGTGCTTGTAATACGTTCACAATAAATCGCTATTCCGTATTGGGTGCTCGGAAGTAGGAAATGACTCGACCCAAATGACGGAAACAAGTTTTGGCTTATTTGTGCTCACTCCGGATGCATACTCTTTATGTATTTCCTCAATGAACTTACGTTTATTTATCCACTAACTTGGTATTTTCCATTCGTCATTTGATATATTTTTCTACTTTTACATAATTGCTCCTAATAATTACTGTCTAATGGGAAACATTTGATCTTCTGAATATTATTATACCAAATTAATCTTGCGAGAACAGCCTCAGAACAGTATACTACCATTCTTAATTTATTAAAAGAAATTTGTTAAAAAAACATTTTATAATTTGTACTCCATGGAAACTAACTCAACTTTTGTTTTAACAATCAGTTGAGCTCAATGAAAACCATAATACCTTTTTTTACTGTACAGCGTAATCAGAATTACATGCAATATTCTTAATTAAATAGTTTGTTAATTAAATAGTTCTATAAGTAACCTATATGTGGAGGAAAAACAACATGTTACGAATTTTTCAGAAGTCACTCAAAACTCTAAACTGAAACCTAACATAATTATTATTATATTTATATACTGTTATAAATATAATAGTAATTATGTTAGGTTAGGTTAGGCGTCAAATGAGAATTCATATAATCCTATAGTAATAGGTAGATATATATTTTCTTCTCTGAAATATCTTTATAATGTTGAATTTGACAAAACAAATCAAAAATCATTTATTTATATAGGACATTTTGACAAGAATATTCATAACAGTAATGAATTTTACTAAGTTCAAGTTTATGAGTTTGCAATATATGTAAAAGTAGTATGCAGTATTGCAAACCTACAAAATTGTACTTCGTAAAACTTTGCAAAAAAATTGGAGAAGTATCGTAAAAGCAACAAAATTGGAGAGACACTACTAAATTAAATTTTGGGTAGTTTCCTCATAACATTATCATATGTTCTTTGAAGTTTATTTAGGTCATCTTTAAAACGGGTCATCATACATTCCACGTTATTGATAAATTTATCAGTAGTTCGGTCCTCCTGAATATTAGCTGTCTCCACGGCTTTGAGGAGACTAAAACATTTGGAATTTCTTTCATTATTAGTGCCGTTGTATTCGGGTTTCATTGCTTCGATTCTCTTCACTGATTCTTTAGTTACATTATATACAATTTTTTAATTTGTGCGCAGCGTGGATTTAATTCTGCAAAATTGCCGTGGTAAATAATGGTTCTTTTTGGTGGTTTCTTTCTTTCAAAAACTATACTCAATGATTTATCTTCAAAGTTCAAATAATCAGACATTATTTATGTTTTATATCACATAATAGAATGTTTCATTATAAGTAGCTTCTTTGGTTTGCGACGTTCAATTTCATCAAAAATATTGATATAAAATATGTATAATACTATCTTGAATGCTAAAAAAATCAAACGAAAATTACTTCAACATTACGATTCACACGTTTGTCCCAAGCATGTGTCACTCAAAATATGTATTATAAAAAGAAAGATGACAATGAAAATTATATTCAAATAGATCATGATAACTAATAAATTACTAATATTAAAAATGCAAAAGTAACTCTCCCTCTCGCTGTCTGTCTCGTTTTCACATCAAACTTTAATGAAATTTGATACATATGAAAAATTAGTTCTAGAGGGTTGAAAGCGGAGATGAAAGGTTGTATGAAAGTATTGTCATTTTTAAAACTAGAAGCTTGAAACTTATTTTTTAGGATGTTGATTAAATATCTATAAATAAATATGACATTCAAAGGCTGTAAAAATGTTACTCTTAATGAGGATAAGACAAAACAGTGAATGAAAGTTTGTATCTAATTATCAAGAACAATTAAATTTTTTGAGGTATTCTACACGGACGAAGTCGCGGGCACGGGCATGGGATCATTCAATGTTTTGAATTTTCGGTTCGGACTACATATTGACTACACATACAATGAAGCAATCTCATATTGGACTAATGTATTTTTTCTATGACACTATGCTGTTTGCTTTGCTTAATTTTGTACTAGATGGCGCTATATGCTAGGTTTTTCAGAAAAAACATGACTTTACATAAAATTAGTGCAATAAAGATTCTTGCACATGATAATGATTTGATCACCACAGATAAAATGAACTCCAATCATACATAAATTTAAAGTCTCTAGCTCCATCTTCCTAAATTTAATCACCGAACTTCTACTAGACAAAGCAACGATTCTGTTACCAGAAGTATAGTACACACATAAATAGATGGCGCTTGTAGTATATTTCACTGTAAATATGTTATTTAAATATTCCTACAGTACTTTGTTCTGCGACTCCAGTAAAATATTATTGCTATAAAAATATACCGTTAGAACTAATAAACTAATTCAATATTTTTTTAGAATCTTAGATACCAATTTATTTAACCATAACGTAATCGCATCTGTGGTTGTACCTAATGAGAGTTTAATTTTTATTTTATGTAAAAGTATCTATATTATACGCATTTCGTATTATCATTCAACCAAGTCATTGGACTTTATTTTGACATTGTTTCTGTTTATAAATGAAAGTGCATTGTTGTATATTTTGCGAATTATTTCTAGGTATATTACCAACATAAGAATAATAATTTTGCTGCTCTCATTTTACTAATACGTTATTTTAGCATAACCACAAGAAAACACGCAAGCCAGTATGCTCCAATAATGTTCTTTTGAATAAACTACATATAAAAATTGTATTAATAATACAATATTAAATAAATAAGTAGATATATAACGAGTAAAGAGAAGGAAATAAAAAAAAACAATCAATATAAGAAAATAGTTATGAAATTTATTTTACACAACAATACATTGAAATCATATACATAAATTATTTGTGATAAAAAACTTCGAGGCACTCGAAATTTTTTATCGCAAATAATTAATATCAAAATAATATTTACATAACAACACACTAAAATATTAAAAATATCACACTGTAGATTTATTCATAAATTTCGACATGCACTCGAACAATACATCATAAATTTAGGTAGAAAAATATTTATCTTTGTAACGATTGAGATGTTGGCATTTTTATTGGGACTGTCATAATAAAATCTTACCTTATGACTACCTACAATACTATGAATATATCGTGCGCGGTTTCGACTCTTGAAAAGAAAGATTCACATCTATTTTGAATAAATCCTAAACGCATAATAATCTAAAATATCAGGACTCATACCGTAATCTGAACGACCACTTAAGAAGCTCATTTGAAACAGTGCTGTACGCGTACTTTTTATGATTTTTAGTTATTGTTACGGGCATATATGATAATACTAGATACACGATTTCCTGCGTCCATGCCTGATAATGCAAATGCGTTACACATCATATAAAAGCATCTACACATCTATCTCCTTGGAATCTAATTATGCAGCTAAATATTACCAATATACATGCATTTAGTTGTATGAGATTTATACTCATGCCTCCATATTGTAATGTTGACTACATATGTATGTAGTTACAACTTACACTGACATTATGCTATATATGTATATACATTAAATGCACCTCAGGTTTTCACTGTACTAAGACATTCATCAACAGTACTATTTGATTTTTGTTCATCTCATTATATTGATATCTTAGCACCTATCAATAATGATAATTAATAGATTAATTTACTCTTCTATATATTATATAATAATAAAAACAGAATGTATAATTATCTACTACCCCGTCGCAAAAATTTAGAAGCAATATATATATATATATATATATATATATATATATATATATATATCTACGTATTTGTATCAATACCTATAACACAAGCTGCTTAACTTGGGTCTAGAGGGCGCGTGATGGCGCGTGTGAATTGTCCTGAGATTATAATTTTATAATAATAATAATAATAATAATTCATTATCAACCCATAAATTAGTATTTTTTTCGATTGATGTATGGAAAATAGTTGTTCCCTACATCAATCGATAAAAGTGAAGATAGATACAGTTTCTTCATTTCATTTACACCCACCAGATCACACAGCAATGACCTCATAGCCGTTTCTTTATTCTAAATGTTTTTTGGTATCAGCTATTTTGTCTTTGAGAATGTCTTGAATATTAGGTTCAAAGACAGTGTTTAAAATCCATCTATACTGCCAACTCTTCGGTGATCTGTCTGTGGTACTAAATAGCCGTCAGCATCTCTGCCTGCCACTATCATAGCTGCAAAACCAGCAGTTCGAGCCAATTCTGTTGTAGAATGTCCACGAGCCCGAAGGGACGCTATCACTGACTGTGAACAGATCATGAAATATATATATACTTTAATGCACTTGTAACAATATCAAATAAATAGATGTTATACGTAAATGTAAGCAAGGTTGGGCTTATCTCTTTCAGAGATAAGCCCACCCTTGCCAACCTAACACTGTGACAGAGATGGTAGTTAGCGGGCAATGATAGAAGCTCGAGTTTAAAAAAAATAACATATAAACGCTTACTAAAATATATAAACGACAATAAAACGTTAATATATATTCAATATATTTAATAAATAAATTTTACATTATAAATATAATAAAATAAACATATATAAATACCTAAACAAATACATAAGCAACGAAAATTACATATAATGATTAACTAAGTAACCTAAATTCTAGGGCACTTTATTGAACATTATATATTCATATAATGACTGATGAATATAATCACTGAACGTTATCATTATAGCTACCTATAATGATAATGTTCAGTGATAAGCAAAAAATCTTGAAAACTGTCTAAAATAGATTTTGTATTTCTCATTATAGAAAAGAATTTCTTAACACATATCAACCGAACAAACACCTTATGTAAACGATGTCAGGACATACTTCAATCTTTAACTAATTATGATTAATTACAGTTTAATGAAATTGGACCAGACGCAATTGAACAGAAATTCTCCTTAGCCTTTCATTCTATACTTGTTTCGCCAATGTATAACAATTATTTATCTCAATCAGAAGTTTTCTTCATCGTGCCCATAAATGAAAGTGTAACAAGATTCTATTTTTGGCGTAATGGTTTAATACACTGTTTTTTGTAATTTCAATTTAGTACTCCCATAATACAACCACTCATACTATTATATAAATCTGAATAGTTTGAGAAAAGGTAACTAGATCACTACTAAATAATAGAATCCCATCCTATCATCCTCCATCAATGACTTGCCGGAGTATACCGTTAGCACCGGTGTATGCATAATTCATCCATAATTTTCGAAGTACGTTCTTTTACTGAATGGGTTAAAAGAACCAACGATAACACATCCTAATTTATGTCTGATATAATTACCTGACTAAAATCTGCCTCATGTTCCACCTCCATAGGTATGAGCTGATGATGTAATCGCGGTCGCTGTACAGTATCTGGTATATCGTTCCCCTCTATAATTGCTTTTCTAACCGCCTGAAACAAAATTATACACATTTGCAATCATAATTTTACACAATACAACATTTGTTAAAAAGAAATATAAATTCGGTACTTTATAGGATGTCAGAATTTGTCCAAAGATGTAAAACAGTATGTAAGGATGCTAAATATTCAAAGGACTTACAGGGCCGTTTCTGATGAATACTAAAACTGAATTACTATATATTGATTAGTTTAAATTTTACATTTAGAAAAGAATAACTTAAAAAAGAAATAATTTTGCGCGTTGTCAATAACGTTGAACATGTTTGATTTCAACATGGTATAGTATGATTCACCAACAGCTATCAAAACTTTGGATATCAAAAGATAATAGACGTCCTAGGTATTTTTAACATTAGTGATAAGGTGAAATAATCTTGCAATAAATAATAATTATAAATAACAAAGTTTACAATAAGTACTAAAACATTTACCAGAGCTACTTGTGTCGTGATCTTAGTGCCTCCCGCAGCCCCCAACAATAGCTCGACCGTTCCATTTCTTAACACTATACTTGGCACCATGGAACTCAAAGGCTGGAGTCCGGGCTCCAACATATTTGCCGGTGAAGGCGGCAGGCCATATGTTGATTTCCGGTTAGGAATCGCAAAGTCATCCATCTCATTATTTAATATTATACCCAATTTGGAGGATCTTCTCTGACAACCCCAACTGAAAATAACAATTTACAATATTTTAAAATAGTTTTACACTCATAAGAAACTATAAAGCCTATCTATCTTACAATATATAAGGGGGGGATTGTTATTAATGAGAATTAGTGCTAGCAATGTCGTGTCAGGTTGAACTCTCCGCTCCCTTCTGGAAACAATCAATAGTTTATTGACCCCGATGGACTGACTAAACTGAGTTCATGGTCATCCTATTATCATCCACTGAATACCAGTCAGCGAATTCACTCAGATCAGGCGAGAGCACTATACCATATTCATCCATTAAAAATAATATATACCTATGACGGGGTAAAGGAGCTGTTAGTAAACTGTACTAATGAACCCATAGCTCGCAGTTTACCAAGTCAGATTCACCTCGACGCGGTTCCTCTGGAAACTATTGAAATAAATTACATCGATATTATGCCGCGATATTTTGCTAACCGGTGACCTAACCTCATGCACCCTATGATTCTCAACTTGGTGCCCCTTCTCTGACAGACCGCTAGCACAGGTAGGATATAAAAGAAAAATTTGGGATACGGGCAAAGTTATATACCTACATTGTAAAACTAAAAATAAGAATTACTTTCCTTATTAAATTGCTTGCTTTGATATTGTTGGGACTAATATAGTATTCTACTACTCTAGACTACTACTACTACTAGAGACTACTCTATTTATTATATTTAGCTGAATTTAACTGAAACAACACTTAGCACCAGGTTGGCCGTCAACTAGTTAAATTGACATCAACAAACCTATCAATGATACGACATCACGTTACCATGTGACGCCCGTGGTATATACCACATTGTAAAACTATTACCAATCCTTAGCTTGCACTGAGACGACATTCCTCCGCAACCTGTAATTTCACTGCCATGCCCTTGCAACTGAAATACAGCTCATAAATTGGTGTTCTTGGTGACTGAAATAGACTTGATAAAAAGTCTACTTTGCTGAAAAATAGACTTAAACTGCTAAACGGTAAGATGATGCTGTCCTTAATATGTCATTAATATACATTTATTACTAAATGGAGTAATACGAACATGTAATTGACAGTACTTGTAACCGAAACTGCACTGCCGTCTGGTGCCACTACCACTATTTGTGCAGTTCCGTGGTCATTAGCCCCTTCGAAGTCACCACCGTAATGCCTCCAGTCGTTGACTGTTTGGTCATCATCTACTAAGTCCCTGTAAGCGGCTGCCCATGATGGAGTGGAAAGGTTACGTTCGAGCTGAAATATTAATAGAAACTAATTCCATGAAATATAAAATTTGAGACACATAAACTTAAGACTTCACAACCAACGTCAAATAATGTATATATTACATGTAATATATGATATGTGAAATATGAAGAACACAAATGAACGACATTAGGAAATAATTTTATAAACTTTCATATAATCAAGAAGAGATCACATAATAAATTTTGTGTGAAAGGGTTAAACATTTGTTTATTATATGTCTGCTATGTTTAATGAAGAATTTATTACATATCTGCTTTTTAGAAACGTCCATTCTCCTGATACAATCTATCTTCACACTAAATATTGATATCAGTTCAGCCGTTAAGTCAAAAATCTATGTTACCCACATACAGACAAACTTTCTCTTCTATAATATTAGTATGGAGCACATGTAAAGGATATGTAAAATATTGCAGTATATTTTTTATCGCCATAGCATTTATAGAAAATTGGACTGAACGAATAAATATAAATCACTTGTTAAACAAATTGTATAATTTTTCCATTGTAATAACGACCTACATTTTATGAAGCATAGAGAATCATTCACCTTGAGTCTTGTAACTGGTACATGTGTTTATGGGTATTAACATTGTGTGTACATATATACTATACATATATAACTCATGGTCACAGTCACGTGGTCTCCATAAAATACAATGATAAATTAAATATACATGCAAAAAACGAAATTTACACGCAAAAAATTAAAATATAATGATGATAATTATAAAGCAAATAATGTTGTTATTTCTGTATTATATCACTTATGTACGTAATTAAAATTATGTAGTTAAGTAATTTTATCTAATCATTCTAATATATCTATGAAATTGGGAAAGTTAATCGGGCGTATTAATCCTATACTTATAGTCCAATATCAAGAATTTTCAAACATGAAGAAAAAACATCTACAATGTAAAATATAAAGGACTGACAACAATGTAAAAATTTAAGGATTTTTTTCCATAATTGATTATTTTCTAGTAGTTCCATATTTTCCAAGTACTCTAAGAATAATAATTTATATCAAATGCAGTTTCTAGTCTATAAACCTCGTTCGTTATATCTATACTAGCAGTGGCCTTTCACACAGCTTTACCTAGATGAAATTTGTTAAAACAAAAATAATGTAGCACTGTATTACATAAATGACATGTAAAAATACACAATAGAATTAAAGAACACAAGCGAATAACATTAGGAAATGCTTTTAATAACTTTCGTACAATCAAAAAGACATCACATAATCACTTTTGTGTGAAAGGTTCAACATCTGTTTATTACGGAAGCCTCGGTGGTCTAGAGGTATTTAGCACACCGCCTAAAAACCGATGGTCGCGGGTTCCATTCCCCACACGGTACAAATATTTGTATTCCTGAATATAATTGTACGTAACAAAAAAAAAATGTATTTAAGTATTTGTATCAGTTGTTTGGCATCCATAACATCTAGTTTCGAGTCAAAATGCTTATTTTGACTCAAAACTAGATGGCGCTGTGTGAATTGTTCTGAGATATCAGATACTATATATTATTGACAGCCTCGGTTGTCTAGTGGTTTAGCATACTGCTTTATTAACCGATGGTCGCGGGTTCGATTCCTCGTACGGTACAAACATTTATATTCATGACTGTGATTGTTTGTATCGGTCTGGGTATTTTCTATGTATAATATGTATTTATTTTTAAAAAATGCATCCATGTATTCATATGAGTTTCGCAAATAAAACCTACATTATTAAAAAATAGGAAGTTGTGTGGCCTGCTCACCTCGGTAATACTGTACGTCAAATTACTCTTATCATAGCGTGTAGGGTCGCCGAGGCCTGTTCGCTTTCCGTACGCATACTTGAAGGTTTCTACGACGCGGTGCCAATACAGATTGGAATCGGGAGGGGCCTCTGTTCCCTCTTCTACCCACCCTCGCAGCATGTTCAGCATGAACGCCAGCACCGAGCCGGTCCCTGGCAGGGGCACGGAATATAGCGTGTGTTGGTCGGTTACCGGCACCTCTATTGGTTCTTGCCACACCACTCTGCAATAATTATTATTATTTCATAATGTCGACAGTTCACAATGACTCAGACTAGGGTAGTCTGAATCTACCCTATTCAGGCAGGCATGTCTTGAATATTATAATATTATTATGTCTACCAAATATAAAATATTGTATATCAACTCTTCATATAACTTAGAAGTTACTTGCTCTTCTAATAATTGGGATGGTCAATGTTGATGAAGTTACGGAAATTAAATTATTTATAGGTCCTATTTATGATAAAATTAATCTATCCATATCACTCATATAAAGGTACCAGTGCCTTTGTAAACTTCTTTCAAATTATCAATTCGTAGTTTTATTAAATTAATTGTTCATTTATCCCTTCAACTTTAATATAATAGTAATAATAATCTGCGTACTTGTAGTTCCTGAGGTCCTCTTCTGTTATGATACCTCCGTGTCCCTGGATATCTTGTACGAGCAGCGCCGTCAAGGAACCGTTGTGAATCGCCTCCGGGCCCTCCTTCGCGATGATATCGAGCGTTCTCGCTAGTGTTGGGTGCCGGACTATGTCGCCTTGTTGCCACACCTCCCCTGTTTCTGGATTCACGTATGCCTCTCTAAAAATATTGAGCAACATCTGATAGAACCTTATAAAAACTGTGATACTATGAAAACGAAATTATTGCACATATATATTATTTTTTGTTTATATTAATTTTTTTTATTATTAATTTGTAATATTAAATCGATACTTCGACTCACATACTTTTTTTTCCTGCTCATATAATTTTTAAGACGTTTAGGAATTTTATTTATTATGTAAGTATTAGAGAGTATGTGAGATTTATAGCTAAGCTGGGAAAAGATGACGCCGTTGTATAAATAAATATCTTTTCCCAAAAACATCAAGCAAGTTGAAAATCGTCGCAATCCCGAATAGATATCTATCTATCAATACCATATAAAATAATTATACATGTTGTAACAGTGTCCGAACACTGGATTTTAATCATTACATATTAAATACAATATGCAGAGACTCTATTCTACAATTTCTCACCTCATGGACGGCTCGGCCTTGATTCTGTCGCTGTGGGTGCCGAGAACGCGACCCATATATTCGGTGATGCGATGGCCGTGGCGACATAGGTCTGCCGTTGGGCGCACTAAATCTGCCCACGGTAAACGGCCGTATCGTCGATGGAGCTCGCCGTAACCTCTCAACTCCCCTGGCACGGCTACAGCCAACCCTCCGACGGTTGATGAGGCGTTCTCGAACATGTTCTTGTGAGCTTTCAGCGGCGCCCGCTCCCGTGCGTTCAGCACTGAAACCTGCCCCGTTGTTGCGTTGTATATCGTCATCAAAAATCCACCCCCGAGTCCCATACATTGTGCACAAGATAAACCTTCACAGAATAGGGTTGCAATAGCAGCATCAGCGGCTGAACCGTTCTTTTCTAATATCTCCCTGGAATTAAAATATTAAATTACCTACAGATACACATAATTATTAATCGTATTACACCATCAACAATTTCGATATCATCAACGTTTAAAATATTTCCTATCATTCATTGTTCTGAGTAATTTATTTATAGTTTCCTTGATAAGGTTAGTGCAAAACGATTTGTTTTCAATGATTGATGTCTAAATGAGATTGGTTATTCTTTCCACAAGTCCGCATAAATATAGCAACATACATTAGGTCCGCAATGAACTTGGAACTCAATAAAGCACGTGTGATATAAGAAGATTAATATGAAAGAAAAAAGTGACAGTTATAAAGGTGATATGGGTGGGAACTATTGCACCTCTGGACCCGGAGTAGCATACCCATATGCTGTTTCTCTGTGACCAGAATGACTCTAGAATGCGATACCTCTTATCCAGATCAAAACAAATCCTAATGCTATATTATAAGTAATACATAAAAAAGTATTGTACCTTCCAATAGAAGCACACTCGTAGCCATTGGCGGCAACAGTGGCGCGCGGGAAGCGCGGGTGGTCGTGGCCGGCCCAAGGCTGCAGCACTAGAACGGCCACCAGCGCGCCCGCTACCAGCGCCACCAACACGCTGCTCACCAAACAACAGCGTCGTGACCTAAAATATTACCACAGTGTGATATGTAGATGCGTATTCATAACTAAAATAATGCATGCATCGTAATATGAGCAGTTCCGATTCTTCACTATTTAAATTACTATTATTATTAAATGTCCAATTTTGAATTTATTGTCAAATACAAGCCGTGATGTTTCAAATAATCAATAAGACACCTGACAAATTAAATAACTATTCATTTATAAATTGCAGTCGGTATCAGGTTACAAAAAAAGGTTTGATTATATAGTCGTAAAATCTATCTACATTTATGTATAAATATATATAATTATGATAAAAATGGAACTGCTCGCAGTTTATACCTACATGATGAAGGAAAAAATTATGGGATGTCTTTGTCAAAATAACCAAGACCCAAAACATTCATCTTTTACTTTATCAGTGCGTTTGTAATCTTAAAAACGGTTTAACCAATAAATACTGTTGTCGCTAAATTATTATTCACTTCACTTAAATTTAAATGGCATGATTTTACATATTACTTAACATATTGCTATTATCCTATATTATAAGACTATTTTTTAGACTTTAGATGGTAGAGATATGAGAAAACTGTAATATCATTGAGGAACTTTATCAATGTATTATATAGGCCAAAACAATGATTCTTCAAATTTTACTGTTTACGCTTGTGCACACTAATTTCAGAAACAGTGTAACCAATTTGACCTACCTCAGTTAGTATCTTACTAATACTTATTATAAACGCGAAAGTGTGTGTATGGATGGATAAATGTTGGTTACTTCTTCGGGCAAAAACTACTGATCGGATTTTAATGAAACTTTACAGTAACATAGCTTATATATCAGAATAACACATAGGATATGAATTTAATGCTGGTGAAATCTCGGGTATAGCTAGTAGTTAATAAGACGAATATAAAAATTAAATAAAACGATTTTAAGACGAATATAAATATATTATAACTTATTCTAAAATTTTCTCACAGGTCTTATAATTAAGTCGTAATTACCTACATATTAATGAATGGTTATGTTTCTTTTATTCGACTCATGCGCCATCCACCACTTTCTTTCTTTTCTCCTTTACCCAAAGTTTGTCTGGAAGAGATCGCTTAAGCAATAAGACTACCTTCCATACATACATACGAAAATAAATACATCACTTCCTACCTTAATATTATTACCAGTTTACTCAAATTCACATCACTCCGGTCCGTAAGTAATTGTGGCATCTTGATGTAGTGACCCTACCTACAATCACGATTATCCGGCTGTTAAAGACCGCTCGAGTCCAGTTTGTTACTGTTTCGCATGCGGTATAACCGTCCCAACTTGTTTAACAATAAGCCATGAAGCGTGTCACTTGTCAGCGTAACTAATATATTCGGAGCAAGGTCACAATACTCGCAGCCACAATCATTCAAACATGAACTCTTGAACTTAGAGATTTACAATGTGATTATTGTTATATAAATACGCAAATTGCCTAATAAAACTAGTACTTAAAACTTAATTAGTAACTGTTACCCGCGACTTCGTCTGGTTTTTTATGTCCGTTTCCGTATCTACACCAAATTTCATTAATACCCGCTCAGCCCTTTAGTCGTGAAAAGTTTACAAACACGCAGACACAGTTTTGCATTTATAATATAAGTAGAAATTCCTATAAATGTCGATCGTATAGATTAAATTTTATATTATATAAATTATGAACCTACAATGTTTTTATTACAATATTATTTAGCAGTACTTGTATGTATTATGAATATGTATGTGTAGGTATATATATATATATATATAATTTTTGTAATATGTTGTATGAATGTTTTGTATGCGCCAAATAATTATATTTTGTTTTATGTCTTTTCTTAATTTATGTGAATTTCTGAATATTATGGTATCTGGACGACATAAAATAAGTATACTTCAAATAAATCTCAATTAGGACTTTCCATCAAATTAAATGTTCTAAATATATACTTTTATTGCCATCTCACATGATGAACAATTTTTAAATGAACGAATAAAAAAAGGCATGCAAATGTTCAATAGGAGCTGCCTTAGATGTTGCTGATATACAGCTAATAAAGCACACTCTCCGTGAAACTCAGTGCACCTAAACAACGTTGATTTTCAGTCAACCCTCATTACTAATGAAAACTTTAACAATCATGCTGGATTTCATAATTCAGAGATCAAAATAATTACTAAATTATCATCAAATAACAATAAAGTATAATTGCGGTATTTATCTATATAAATACCGCAATAATAAAAGCGCGCTTACATAAAACTACAACGACGCCTTTATTAATAATTATATAATAAGTTTACGATATTGTAACACGGTAAACGTACGTATTGTTAACATTATTATTTGTATAGTCGTGACGCGAGAAATCTGTAGTTATATGACAATCTATAATACATAGAAAGGGCCTAATTATGTAAGTAAAACTGTTTATCAATCAATCTGATGTCCGTGATTACGTTTGCTTTGTATTAGCACAGATAAGATAATAATATTACATAGTATTAGTAAATATTTCAAATAGTCTGCTTATTTTTGCGATGTGTTTTATATCCCTTACTTCACAGTATATAAATAATTGGCAAACAAACTATCATGCCCCATTTCACCTCTTCCAAATTATAATCAATAAAACAAAAATATATTTTTATAACAATATAATTTAAAATGTGGATATATTGATGTTATCTACTTATCCCCACTAATATGTAAGTACACTTAAGCCCATCTTTTGTGAAAGCATTAATAGTAATAAAGATAAAATATATTACATTCTTAACTGTATCTTTATGATTGTTACAATATCAAATCCTTGAAACAGAGAAGTTGCTATATCAAACCTGCATAGATACCAGGAAGCTTCTGCTCTTGTGGGAGAAGTATTAGCTAACTACTTTAGTAATCTCAGCCCTGCACGTACAATAAATAGCCCAAATGAGAGGCTAAATGCGTAAAGGGAATTCGCTTTACATTAAACTATCGGAACTAAAATTATTTAGTTGGTGTGTATTAAAATTTTTGGTTATAATGAAAATGAAACAATTTCATTTTTTAAATTAGCTAAGGTAACTAACGTTATTATGTGGAGTTGTATAGTCCATTAGGCACGCACACAGATTTTCTAAGCAATAATGTCACAGTAAAAAATAGTACCTAGTGTATTACTGCAGCCATATTTGTTGCTCTTATTTATGTATTTATACATTTAACTATTATGTATTAGGATGTTTGTTGTAACAACTTTTATTGTTCGTCTATTTCGTTTGTCACAATTATACAAGTGGGTTTGTATATTTTTTGTTGTATATTTATTTATTTTATTCAATCTTTCTATATTCGTAATTATTATAAACCAGGTTATCTCTAAAAGGTTGCAATCCGCGGACACTCTTACAAATTGTATAACTTTGTACTTTTAATACAATTACATTCATACGTACAGTCAACATACGGTAGTAATGATTACAGTGGCGACACACCGTCTTGAATACCAAAATGTGAGACTTTAGTAATCGTCCTCGACCTATTGTTTGATACACTAACATCGATTTAGTGAGATAGATTACGTAATAATTATCTATTCTTATGTTCTGCACCTTACTGAGACTCTGTCCTAGTTAATAGGGATCGAAATTACAACGGTTTAACCTGAGATTCCAACCCTAAAGATATAGAGGTAATATTCTAGAAGACTGCCGTCAGGCACTAGTTGGAAAAAATAATTTGAATAATTGAATTTCTTTGAAAAGTTTCTTTTTCATTTATAAGGTATGTTGTACCTACGTTTTTCAAAAGAGAAATAGGTTTTATTTATTTATTACTGAATAAAGTGAAATCTGAATAAACCGCTATTATATTCGAACTAACTCTATATATTACTTGTAAAATAATACACATACATATATAATGTTATGAAACTAATGTAGTCACATTGTAATTTGTCACGAACTGGTCACTACGTGCTTTGTATATAAAACACGTTACATATACCCATGATTTAATGAGTAATGTCCATAATCATATCGAATACATTATTTTATAGGAACCATAGTTATAACAATACTAGTTAAGAAAACAATGAAATTGAATTATGACGATTTAGTACGGCACGGCAGTAAACTCGATCGGATTGGAAAGAGTAAGAACTATCTGTAAATAGATACGTGCAAGTTACATGAGCAAAACTATTATCTATTATTGGAGTTAGGTATATCAACATAAAATAACCCAAAATAATAATTATAAGAATTTGTATTTGTGCATTTCTACTCGTTAATCTTAGAAACTACACGCACAACGGCCCGAATGAGAGGCCAATTGCGGAAAATGGAGTCCAACCTACACTAATCTTAGAAACTAATTTCCTTTACAGTTTTCAATCATGCATTGAGATAAGCATCAACTTACCTACCTATATACTAGCTTTTGCCCGCAGCTTCGCTCGCGTTAATTTATCCCCTTAGGGGTGGTTTTTATAAAAATCCTTTCTTAGGGGATGCCTACGTCATAGTAGCTTTATGCATGTAAAGTCTCAGCCCGATCGGTTTAAAATTGACAAAGTTTCATACAAACTTTCATCCTCTATTTTATCCCCTTGGGGGTAGAATTAATCAAAATCCTTTCTATCTACCTGCATGCCAAATTTTAGCCCGATCTGTCCAGTGGCTTGGGCTATGTGTTGATAGATCACTATGTCAATCACCTTTGAGTTATATATAGATTACATTTCTTTATTGGAACTCAAAAATGATATTTTACAAAGTAGGTTAGTTAGTGTAACGATAAGAGCCACAGTAAATAATACTGTGGAAAAAGACAGAAACTAGTATGTATGTATATATATATATATATATTAGTTTTATTCCAATTAATTCATTAACAAAAAAGTTTTAAATTATTGGTATTACAGTATTACGAATAGAATTAAATTGTGAACTCTTTATAACACTTAAATTGATCAAGTGACAAAAACTGATAATA